TGGCCGGCCCAGCCCTAAACCATGACAGAAGATACTGAAAAAAAATAATTATGATAAGTCCATCTTTGTTGGCTTAATAAAGCAAATGCTTTGCACTAAAAAAAACTCAAAAGATTTCTACTTCTTCCAGTAAGAGCTTTCAGTGAACAAATTCAAGCAGCTAATTTGCCATGCAACACAAACGGTATCTCCTTAGAGAAACTATCATGGGTTTGAGCCTTTTCCTTCACAAAACTAACTAGAAAGGCAGTATCTTAGGCATGATTATCATATACTTCCCTCATTCCCTTTACTTGCTTTGATTTTATTTCAAATTCAAGATTACGATTGACAATATCAGGCAGTGGCAGTCAGCAGCACTGGACCTGTATCAGAAACAATCCCCTCTACTGCAGCTGTAGCCCATGACCTGCTTGACAACAGCAACAGCTCCAGCAGAAGCAGAACAGAGCAGAACTATGAGCAGATCAGCTTCAAACACAGCATTTACTTTTCACCTGCTGTCTCACCAGTATGTGTCAGAAACTCAGTCATTTTCTCCTTTACACAAGAGGCTGGATTACAGAAGGTAGGCACCTCAGCATATCATACTAAGCATTATTGAGGCTTATTAAGGCTACTGCGATCCATTTTGACATGGTAAATGACACTTAACTGCTGTCAGAATGCCACGTGCAGACGCACTGGCATTTGACCAGAGCAACAGCTTTCCAGAAGATGAAAGCATTCGTTTGTTCTGCTAATGCAAAATGTCCTAATATCTTCCTACTGTACGCAGAGAGGCAGCAAAGATACATGAAGCTCGTAAGACTTGATTTCCCTTGCTGCAAACCTTGAATTGACTGATGCATAGTCTTTTAGAACCAGTTACTCTATGCTTTACTCAATGCTAAGAAAGAAGTGCATGGACACTCTCCACAGCAGCCTGTAAGTCCTTATTTAATGTACCTGTAGCCTGCAAGTTTAGCTAGGAGCAGCTAGTCCAGATACTCTTCCCCTGCCCAGGCCTGTTGCAAGCAGCGTGCACACCAGCTGGCACTACACTGAGCAGAAGCTCCAAAAAAAACTTGGCTTGACTATGGTCACCCAGAAAGGAATTCGGCTCCAGCAGCTACCTAAAAAAAAAAAGTACCCTGCAAAACAGGGAAGGAAGAAAATCCCAACACGCCCCCGCCGCACCCCACAAAAAAAAAAATAACCCAAAAGCCAGGCACAGGCTAGAAAGAGGAAGCAATACTCATAGCAGCTAAGCAGGGAAGAAGCAATAGGGCTGGTTCACACTTCCTGGGGAAAATGCAGGTGGTCTCACTTATGTTATGAAAGGATTGACACCTGAAGCCTTTCAGAGACCTCCTTAGCATACAACAGGCTTATCAGAATCAGCAGTCCCTGACTATCACAGCACATGACTACCACAGAGAGAAAACCAACACATCCACCTACTTCTCTCATTTTGAAAAAGGCCATTCCTGTGAGTAAAGAATCAGATCCTGCCTGATGCTGTGGTCCTATCCTTTCCAGCTCTAACTGCTCAGCCACTTCTTGTAATCCACCCTGAAAAAGAAAACATTTCTGTTAACTGCTGAAAACAATTACATCAGAAAAGTGAACAGCTATATTTGGGAAAATCTGTTATACAAGTCATACAACCTCAGGTGTATTTTAACATTTGCACAGAAGCTGAAACAGTCATTATACCAGATAAATACATACCTGGAGAATCAAATTTTCACTATCAATAGAAAGATTAGAATTGTGTCAGTATTGATTAAATAAAGCAGTTTCTGTGACCAACAAAACTACTATTCCTTTATATGTCCCAGCTTCTTCACTAACCAGATGTCATTACTTAAAGCACTTCCTTCAAGATGTTGAAAGGACTGGCAGTGCTGAAGCACAAAACCAGGTGTGCCTGTACTCCCTCTATTTAAATGGAAGTTTTAAAGGTAAAAATGTTGTTCTACAAATCAAGTGCTTACAAATGAGATGCCCCTATGCCTCCATGTGTTAAAGTATCTAGAGATGTATATTTAATAGTAACACATATAATGAAACCTACATCCTAAGTTTATGAACACCTCACATACAAAAAGGGAACAATTTAAAACAGTAATTGTCTGCTTTGAGTGTTGATGCATGGCTTAAAAGGACAGACCATGACACTTCAGACATTACTCCAAACCCGCAAATCTATCTGCTCTTACATGTGAAACTTCTAGTTTTGAAGCAAATTTTCTTTCCAATAAGCTTATGGGAGAAACTATCCCCTTAACTGCAGAGTGACTAAATAAACTTATTTAGTGCCCCCCAAAATGGTAATAACCACTAACTATGGAAACAAACCATTAGAAGTCAGTTTGGTTTTACATGGATAATACAGATCAGTTGGAGGATATATAACTATTTGTAAATATATCTCACACCACTTGACCACTTGTGTGGAATTTCTTGGTCTGTAACTGCAATAATTAGAGAATAAAATTTGTGTCTCAGAGTCTCCATAACCTACTAATTTTCATTTTCAGGCAAGACTTCTGCTTTCCAGAGAAGAACATTTTACTCTTGGAAAAGGACAAATTCTTCCTAAATTTTCAGAGCACTGATCTTTCAAGAAAGAGGCCACAGAAAGATTTACGTAATCGGACAACCATTGTCAACAGCAAATCCAGTTCAAACTCTCATTTCATGGCACTGGTACCAGAGTTCAATACTCTGTACAAGCTTCCACATTAAAAGCAAGTTTTCAACAAAGTCTATAAATCTACATTAAGTTGCTATTATTATGAAAGGGATTGGAATTGCATACATCAAAAGATTTTTAAAGAACAAGCAAGACTTTAACCTATACTGCATCAATCTCTCAAGTGAACTTCCAATCTGTGTGCCAGTAAAATACATTCATGTCCATTTAAGTTAGAGTAAGGTACTGTAAATTCTACAAAAAAAGCATTGAACTGCTTCCCAATCCTGAAGGATATTTCTCTTCTCAATGCTAAAAATTTTTTGGGTGTGTGGCAGACGTACAGCAAGTCAGTGACTTCCATATGAAAAATAACTTAGACAAGTCAATAAAGGACAACTGCACAGCAGTTCAATTCACCGAAATTTAATGGATTGAAAATGACAGACACTAGGAGACAGTGCATGCATTTTTAAAGTCACAACACTGAAGTTTAGCAATTTGTTTCAGACAGCTGCTCTCAGTACAGTACAAGTCCAACATCGCTTCATTGCTGGTAAATTTGGAGGGGCAGGGTAGCCCACATCCCTTCCCCTGCTGTCATTAGCCATCTCCAGGTTAGGTGACAGGATCAAGATTTACTGCAGGAAAGCTGACCTACATATTCAGCTCTGAAAAAAAAAACAACAGATCACCCTTGTTCTTAAGGTCTGCTGAAAGAAGATTTGTGAAGGTTTTTCTTGTCTTCCAAAAAACATTAGTGTGTCTTAACAATGCAGGTCACACACAACTATGCCTTAATGAAGTGACAGGAAATATAATCCCCTCCTCCCCAAACCCACTGGAATGTCACCTCTGGAATGGTGACACAGAATGTCATTCTTACATACTTACACTCTGTTCTTGGTAAGAGTGTCACCATTACTAAGACACCACAGGCTTTACTTTGCTTCACCAGAGGTGAGGAAGCAAGGGTGCTTTTTTTGTTTGCATTTGGGAATGAAACAGAGGACTTTAAATCCAACACAGATCACTAATTGAGCATGGTGAAGTGGCAAGCCATTCCTTAGTTAGGATTTGGTTATACTACAGTCAGCATTTTTTGTCCTGCAAGTTCTCATTAAGAAAGCCTACAGAATCGAGTTACTTTCCCTAAAAGCAGCAAGTCATTAATTGCCACAGATGAGCGATGCACCTCATTCCAGGAGCAGTCCAGACTCAGAGTTCTTTGGCAAGTAAAGCTGTTAACAAGCCCTGTAGCATCTTTCTTTCACTTGCTGTCTTCTCCTTCACATACTTAGATTCAGTTCCCATTCATTCTCCAGACCAGTAAAGAATCCAAATTTTATGCCCGATAGAATAAGCCAATTAAGTAACCTCAAAGGCCTGACATGAGAGATTTGTTTCTAGTACTTTTTCAAGAAGCCACCCGTTTTCCCTGAACATTTGCTGTTGTTTATCTTTCCTTATGGGGCCATCTGAAAGAGTCTTCACTCCATTCCACTTCCCAAGACATTTCCACAGCATCATGATGGCAATTGCCTTTGCCAAGACTACTGCAGTCTTTAGTGGACTGCACAATAAATAAAAGTATATAAAACCCATGAATTCTTGCAGATGAAGAGGGAAAGGATCAATTCCAAACATGGGTTTATGATCTGTCAAAGACTAGGCACTATAAATACAATCAACATGCTATTTTTAACAGGTAAGCAGTTATAAACATTGATGCGTGCCCCTTGCCTGCCTCTATCTGTAGTCTCTAATGTTAAATATATAAAGTTCGAGGCAACAGGGATGTTTAATGGGTATTATCAAAGCAAAATAACAAAATAAAAATATAGAAAGTAAGTATTTCTTAGCAGAATGTGCTTTCGCCACGAAATTTTTTTGAGCCATTAACAGATTACTTACCTTCAGATTTTTGCAACTCTTCATGAGATATTTTACATCATAGATAACAGGGAAAAACAATCGCAGTATCTCAAAGAAGTCCAGCTCTTCTTCAGGTAGATTAGAGTTTGTCAGGATTTTGATTAGATAGCCAAAGTCATATCCACTGCAAATTAATAACAAAAACCATATAAGTAACTTACAAGCATCCTTCTTACTTCTAACATCAAGACTTTATTACACATCAACAGGACATTTTGCTTAATTTCAATGCAATTAAGACTGACTCTTGCAAAAGACTAAGCCTCAGTGTAAATGGCTCCACTGCAGCTTTAAGGGAAAACATTTTAATTTAGTCTCAATGAGGTCAAGTGAAGAAGTAAAAAAGATCTTTCTAGAGGTGCTTCTCCAAATTCCAAAATCAGGTAATGCTGCTGGGGCTTCATCTGGTAACAGGAAGTTAAAACACAAAGACTCCAAGCTGGTTCCTTTCACACAGACTGGAGTTCCTCACTACAAACTGAATGAGATAAGATACTTCTACAGTTCTTGAAATCCATGAGTTTCCAGAGTTTCACCCTCAGCAAAGAAGGAGGACAGTGTTTCAACTTTCTCTATTAAATCAGCACACAGACAACTGGAAAGTTTAATATTTTATAGGACTACTACACCTTTTGGAGGCAAAGACAGATTCAGTTGGAATTTTTTTTGTGTGTGTACATATAAGTCAGTAGGAGACAAAGATAATGGAGCAGTACAGGTTTGGGAGAAGATTTTATATATACATATATATAT